AGGTTCACAGTTGAATTAATACAGTTATACAATATTGAACTCAGTATAAACCCTGTAAGACATAAAATTGAATGAGTTTTTAATCCTTTAAAAAAGGTCTCCATTTCATTTTAAAATATACTGTTTCTTACAGAAGGGCTCATTGTTTTTGTTCATAATACTAAGATGTTGGCACATGCATCTCTAATCTGTATGTATCTGATTATTACTACTCATAGTCAGTTGCACTCAGATCCTTGGCGCCTGTGTATGTCTATAAAGTTATCGGGTAGATTTCAATGGTAATGTTTATCACCTCTACTAATTAACATGATGCAAATTTCCATGCTTCCTCCTCAAATATAATACATTTTTTAAAAAGTTGTTGATTTGTGTGTGTGTGTGTGTGTGTGTGTGTATTCTTATTCATCTATACACCCACTTCCCAGATGGCACCTTCCCATAGCCTCCACCCCCCCACTAGAGCCCTTATACGCTGTCATCCAAGCTACTGTCTGCTGTGTTGTCAGCACCCCTGGCTATTCCCCACTACTTGTCCATCCGGTGAATCTAGTCAGCCTATCTAGAGGTCTTTGTTTTAGGAAAGTCAGCTCTTCCTTATCTAGCAGCAATGAGTTGTCAATATTCCATTAGATAAGATAGGGTTCTGCTGTTCATTTTCCCAGTTCTATGCTGGGTTACTATTTGGGAGTCCCTTTGGCCACCCTGGCCAACAACTCAAAAGAAGGTATCTCCTGTCTGGCATTGTTGCTTGTTATGTTGCCTTTAGCTATGGATATGGACTCTTAATAGATTATATTGGCCCCTTTAATCTTTGGTTATACTTTCCTTTTGGGTGTTTAAAGCCATAGAGCAATTTATTTTTACTCTTAAGGCCATTTGAGGATCTGTTCCTCAGGGGTCCCATGGGCTTGGGAGGAGCCCCTGGCTCCTTTCTTTTACCAGTTCCGCCTATGTAAAGATAAGTCAAAGGTCCTACTCAACACTGCTGGCTTCACTTGGAAGCACGGAGGAAATGATTCCTCTCTATTGACCCTCCTCTTTGTAGACTGGACACTGGTTCAAGTCCATCTCATGGGTCTCCATGGCTTTCTTTATCAAGAGGGCAGGTGACCCACCACAATTACAGGACATTTTCAGAGATGCTCATAGTCCCCTGGAAGTAGTCGACCAAGGAGGGCAAGGGGCAAAAACTGTCCTTTATGTCCCTCTGATCAAATTAGTATAGGCCTCAAAGTATGTCTGTTAAACATCCAAGAAGGTTAGTTCCACCAGTCTAGTACTTTTAATTACTGTGTGCCATGTAGATAAATCTTTGACAGAGACCGATTGTTCTCAGATAAACCTTGCCTAGACATATATTTCTTGATCTGGTATGTATAATTTGTCAGCAGGTTGTTGGACTAATATGGCTCCCTCCAGTTTTTAAAACTAGCTAGGCATTGTTTATATCTCACATTGTCTAACCCATCCATCATGGTTTCCCCATTTAAGGTGACCCCATTTTCCCCTTTCTCCCTTAATAATACCCTTCTCCTATGGGCCAAACATTTCTTTAACCCAAAACCTTAATAAAGATTTACACTGCTGTTCAAGTGCTGGGCATCTGGTACTGTGGGAGGAGCTACGATGATCCTTATTTATTCCTGATCTGTGGGGTGGAGCTGGGAGGGTCGCACACACCAACTGCCCTGCTGGATAGTGCTTCCAGTGGTCAGACACATACTTGTTGGAGGCTTGCATTTGTGTCTTCCCACACCCAACCTAGCCTTCTTCAGTTATTTGCCTGGCAAATACTTGTCTTCTCTTAAAATTACGTTTGAATTTGGTTTTGTTTGTATATATATAAGCACACACTCACACAAATACGTTTTGTTTCACAGGCGGAGTTCCCTTACATCCTCAGTCTCCCTTGGCAACAAAAGAGAGAATTTCACCTGGCATTAGAGGGACCCACAAATTGCCCCGTCACAGACCCCTGAATCGAACTCAGTCTGCACCTTTGCCTCAGAGCACCCTGGCTCAGCTGGTCATTCAGCAACAGCATCAGCAATTCTTGGAGAAGCAGAAACAATACCAGCAGCAGATCCACATGAACAAAGTAAGCCTGGGATGTGAATCAAATGTTATAACCACTGGTTTAGAAATCAGAGTTCTCTCCCCTGGGTACAAAAGAAGAATGTTGAAGTCAGATATAAGGCAAAAATTAGCATCATTGCCCAACCATTTGGGCTCAAAGACATCACCCCAGTATCATCATTTTCATCATTGTTATAGTCACGGGACATTTGTAGTAAAATTGAGAGCATGAGTCATCAATATGATTTATGATGGAGCGTGTATTTTAATACACAGGCCCCTAAGTTCTGTGTGTATGAAGCCTCATTCATGATGGAATAAAGGTGTAGGTTGACAAGTCGGAAGGTTACACAATGTGCTGGCAGATAGGCTGTGTTGGCCTATATAGAATTTCTTGGCAGCCTATACACATATAAGTTGTGTTTATTTTTTAGTATGCCAAATTCATTCCAAAAAGCATTTGAAGTAATTTCTCAGAAATTTCTGGTAATATTTTTCCAGCAGCCTGATTCTGATTGAAATGGATGGTGAATGTCTATATCATGACACATCCCTAGTTTTCCTACTAAACCAACCACAAAGGAAGAGTGATTATAGTATAATGGTATCAGAAAGACAAGTAAAGCATTTTCTGTGAATTTGAAAGGAAAGTGATCTTTCCCTCTTTTTCTTTCTATGTGAACTACATGTATGCCATAAAGGCATTATTGTTTACTGACAAATAGACAGCTGTAGCTCAGCTTAGTAAATGCTCTGTTGTGATGTAAAACATAAAACACAAGAAAATAAACCCTCGTGGGCAAAGACCTATCATATTTCTCATGGCAGTAAGAAAAAGATCTTCATCTTGTGCCAGTCTTACTGCAAGTATTCCTAAAAGTTTATTTTCTTCTTTGTCCAGCTCAACAGGAGTCATGAAAAGAATGTGGGCTAAAGAGTTCTGAACAGTACTGGGTAGTACTAAATACAAATTATTCGAGCCTGGCCCCTTGCCATCTTCAAAGACCATGTCAGGAGTTGGGCTGGAGTGTTGGGGTGGAATTGGTTAGCACTGACCTCTGTCTTTCCAGTATTCTTTCATGGTATCTTGTAGACTCTATATCATCAGATTAATGCTCATTTGATTGTTATAGCATTTCTCAAAATTTGTCAATTTCATTTTTTATCAAATCAGTTTCTTCTGGAAGGAATCTGCTTCCTTCTCTGCCTAATGTGCATCGCCCTGAATGCATGTGTTTGCCCTATGATGGTAGAGTTAGGCTGATTTGTTTTGTGACTTCCTAGAACAACTTAAAATGACTACATCTTCTTGAGAAAATTGTCCATTGCAAGAAATTTATATGGAAGGAAAGACTAGTGATCATTATCTTTGCCTCATAATCTTTGACTTAAAATTTATGAGCAAACTTATCTTTGACCTGAAATTAGCTTTCTTATAAAATTAATGTTGGATTATACTCATGCTTTGCTGGCACTTATAGTTTACATTTATCAAGCTATGTGTATATATATGTTCTGCTATGGATAACCAGTACAAGCTGATCCCTTTGAGATTGTGGCCTACAGATGATTTGTATACATTTAGAATGTTTTGGAATTCACTTTTTATGACCTAGAGTTGCCACCATTTGAGACTCAGGTGGTACGCTAACACCATGTTTTCCTCTTCGGTATCACACTAGAGATTTTGACGGGCGGATGCTAACCCCAGTCTCAGGATAAAATGAAGATGAAAAGCAGGCATTTGCATTTCAGCAGTGACCAAAGCAAATCTTATCAGAGACCTTCTCCCATGTGGAGCTTATTTCTTGGAATCTGGTAAAAATTCTTCCCCAAATTAGAAACAAACCTATACTTTTAGGGACATGTTTGTACAGTGGTTTGATTATTAAATCTTGGCTTAATTAGACAAAATGAAGGCCAGAAAACTTCAAAGGACAAAGCTGATCTCTATATGTTAACTCCTCTCAGCTCGGGTGTTTAGATGACTCAAGCAGGTCTCCACTTGGCTTTTCTCCAAGTATACATTCCATATGTCTAGTCAAGTGCCATGTGCTCATTGGATATTCCCTAGATTTTTAAAATATTTTAGCTGCCCTCTGTCATCTAAGGAAACAGAGAAGAATCCTATTAAAGAAAATATTGAACCTATGTTATATTTTGAAGTTTTCTCAGTAGAGCTATCAAGAAGTGAATGGCTTGCTACTGTTCACCTTTCTCCCAAGATGATGAGGACATCTATTTTTTTATTGGGTCAGGGCCATGACTTGGATACCAAGAACTACTTTAATAATAATATATTTATGAGTGTTCTATCTACTTAGAAGAGTCATTGGTAAAACTAACCACAGAAGCATATGCTATTTACCTATGATCACGTATAAACCTTTATTTATTCCTGTTTAACTGGAGCCAAATAGTTGGCATCATGAAACCACAGTCCTCACTCTTGAGTGTTCGTAACAGCAGGAAATAAAAACAGATGTGAAAATGTGGGTGTGCAAATGGCAGGTTTAAAATGCTTTTCCTTTAATTCTCTTAGCATCTTCTGGCTCTTTTTCTTAAGGACTTAGGGAAACAGAATATGAAATTAGAACACAGTTAAAAATAAATGTATCTAGGCTGTCGAGTTAGTTGAGGTGAATGTGCTTGTCACCAGACCTGATGACCTGAGTTCAATTTCTGGGACCCACATGGCGAAATGAGAGAATACACTCGCACAAGTTGTCCTCTAAACTGCGCACATGTCCTATGCATACACACATACATACACACACAAATTATAAAATGTAATAAAAATTTTAAAAATAAAGACATGTATTTCTAAATGACTATCAGGTTAAATATAGTTGGTCTTCCTGGTATGAAATTTGAAGGGATATATTTGAATTTCCAATAATCATTAGAAAGTTTCAAAGGAAACATCTACTTTAAGGTGCATAGTTGATGCAATGTTTTTCATTAAATTTTGAAGAATTAATTATGTAAGTATGTAATATAAATGCCATTAATCATATCAAATTGTTTAACTACCTGTTTACTATATTTCATTGATATTTACCTGGGGTATTTGCCTCCTAAGTTTATTTATATCTTGCAATTATCATATAAGTGCTCAGGGGCTTAGCCCAACAGTGGGTTTATACAATATATTTGTTGCAGTATCTGCCAGAAAATAATGGTGGAGCTTTGAAAGGATAGTTCTGGGCTAGAGAGGAAAATGTCAGAATGACTCAGCTCTGGTCCTGAGTTTCAATATTCTGTTTTTGCTGAAAGTGTCTGAGATCGTATTCATGTGGAAATCATAGCTTACAGTATTTCTTCATTGGCTTTTTAAAACATTAAAGAAGTGAGAAATGCATTGCGCAAATTCTCTTGCCACCATATAGCATGTGTGTGCTATGAGGCTTTATATTTTGGTGAGTCTTTTTCAAAAAGAAAGAAGAGTCTCTTTATAGTAGAACCAAAACAAGATGGTTACTTTTGCCAGTATATTTTGTTTTTCCTGTTGAAAGAAAAAAAAAGTTTCCAAAATAGAATTTTCACCAAAATACAAAAGACAAAACAGAAAAACAGAAGGGTGTTGATAATTTTCTCCTGAGCCCACTTTGAGCTTAAATGTTGCCAGGATTTGGTGGTGGTGTTCTTTTTGTTTTTCTGGGAAAATGGAACTGATTGAGTTCAATGAAACACTCCACAGTTACTTGGTTATTTTAATGATTTTAAAGGATAGTCTAATCACTGCCTGAAGAACAAAAGCACAAACCTGCAGTAACATCACTGTGGCAATGTTATTGTCCAGAGTTCCTTCCAGGAAATTGAGCTGAGTACTTTGCCTTCTGCTGGCAATGTTATTCTGTTGTGGCTTTAATAATGCAGAATTGATTTGTGCCTGAGAGTTTCTACCTTAGCAGGATTTTCACTGTCTTCTAATATTTATCTTTTTTATATTCATCCCATCAAACTACTTGAGCTTTTAAATGTTAGTATTTATTTGGCTGAAATGCTAATCTATGCTTGTTTTCATTCAGCAAATCACTGAATTCTTTCTTTGGGTAAGCACTGCCATGGGACACTAAGAAATCAGTATTCGGTGTCTTCAGGAAGGAAAGTAAAGGATGAACTATTCAATTCAAATTAATAGTGCCATAACATGTTCAGCATTAAGATAGATCCTAGGAAGGAAGGGAAAGTTCTTGAGGAAATACCATTTGATTTGTTTAGTTACTTCTCCTTCTATCAGTTATTTTGTGCTTATAACCTTTTTTTTTCCTTCCTCTCTTCCTGCTCTTTTCTATTTCTTTCCTTTGTCTTTCTCTGTGATAAATATCATACGCATTCCTATGATTGGATATCAGCCAACACATTTTTAAAAACATATATAAATCATGAGATGATATCTTATATGTGTCAAGGATCAGTCTAGATATAAGTATTTATTATTTATTTATTACCACGATACTTAGACATTTTGACATGAATACTATTTTATCATAATAAAAATATATCTAAGACAAGACCAGTAAATGGAAGGCCAAGCAGATGTCTTGTGTTGCTCTTATTAAAACAGGTAGATGTTCTATTCTGACAAGCACGGTGAAATACAGCTATGCTCAAATGCTAAAGCTTAGCAAATAGGGATTTCTTTTTGGAAGAGAATTTGACCCTTTACTTGAGTAGTATATGTTTTATTCATTTCTTTTAACATAATTTTATTATATCAGTGTTACATAGTCTCTATACTCCCTCCTTATTTATAGCCATTCCTTGTCCCCAATCATTTATCTTTAGCAACCCAGGAGAGTATATTCTTTTATGCCTGTGGTCACATGCAAACATGACATGGATATCTCTCTTCCTGAAGTCATTACTAACATATAATTGTTGCATGAACTCTTGACAAAAGTATAGTATGTATTTAGCCTAGATTAAAATTTGAAGATCAACAGTTCTATAGGTGTATATATAGCTTTAGAAATCACATTTTTGAAAACATAGTTTATATACACAAGCACCAAGTCC